CGCACCTCGCTCAGCCAGTGAGCGGCCGGTCTGTATGTGGGATCCGAACCCTCGGCGGGAGCGCCGCCGCGCTCCCAAGCGGCGCACTGTAGCAGTGCGCCACCAGGCTGGCCCTTAATATAAAATTTTTAAAAAATATAGTGCACCATGAGAAATGTTATTTAAGTATTTAAGAGTAAACCATTACATTAATAGAATTAGGATCAGGAATATCATAACATACTCTGCATCCATAAATATATGCAAAATAGATACAATATTGAACTAGAAATCAAAAGAATTGATTTCTAATCTTAGATTTCACCAAATCTTTAATGTCTTTGCTTTAAGCTGTTAAGACATATGAAATAGTATAAATGGGAACTGAATAAACTGAAGATACTATCATTTTAATTATCCTTCAAGTGACATATAGATAATTTGCTAAGAAGCTCAATTCCTATACTACAAATCCTATGCTGCCTTCAGGTAACAGGCTATGATGCTCCTTAATATGCCTTATATATACTATACAAATATAAGCAAGATTCAAGAAAAGACAAAAAGAAACTTTAGAGTACCTAGGAGAATACCTATGGTACTCAAAAAATTTCTGCTGAGCTGAATTTAAAAAACTAAACATACTGTAATAGATCACTTCTAAAGAGAGCACTGCATGCAATTATATACACAAACACACATGAAAATTAGCACTTACCAAAAGACTGTAAAACTGCTTAATCAGAACAGATACTACTCTCAGTAAACGCATGCAGATAGGAAAATATGGTTTTTCAACTGGTGCTGGAGAAGATGAAGTGCTGGAACCTTGTCTGAACTTTATATTTGGAGAAAAGAGCTTTATCACAAGAGGACACACCCTTTCTTTGAGGAGGAAACTAAATTCCTGGTGCTGTTTGCAAAGAAAAAAGAAAGAAAAAAAGAATTAACACAGTTTGTACCTAATACTTCTAAACACAGTCTCACTAGCAAATACAATGTCTTAATAATCAGTATTAATAATTTAACTTATTTTAAGTTTACATATTTTATTATTTTACAGTTTACGCACAATTTTGAAATTCACATTGCTTTTAGAGGGTCTAAGATCAAAATGATAAACAATACTTCAAGAAGTTTTTAAAAGAATATAAATTAAAAAGGAACTTATGATAATTCTAGAACTGAGTAATTGGTGCAAGTAATTGGTGCTTATTACTAGACACTTTAATTTTAGTTGGACACTGGTAATTAAAAACATAAAGAACAAAAGAAAAAAATGGATTATACAAATGCAAGCAAATAAAGCATTTAATAGGCAGCTGAGTAGAGAAAATAAAGTATAATAAGTTATATAATTCATTGATTTTATTTTGCAAAGAATAATTCCATTCATGCAGAGAGATTTAATAATTAACTTTAACACAACACAATGAGCTGGTAAAACACACAATAACATACAAGAATAATTATTTCATATGTCTGGGGAATCTTGCAAAGAATCCTTAAATTTTACTTATAGTCAGGGCATATTATTTAGAAAGCCTTCCTTAACTTGTTAATTACCAGCCTTTATTAGCCAAGAGTAATCCCATTTTACTAACATATAAGGCCTTGTCTGCATTTAACGACTAACCTTGAATAAGTTGTATTTTGTTGTTTTAATCATCCAAATTTAATTGAAACTATAAACGAAGAAAGAATCATAAAATCATCTAATTTAATCCTTTAATCTTACAGGAAAAAGAAATAAGGCACAGGACAGATTATTTGCTCAGAATCACAAAATTATTAAAATGAATCTTTTAAAAAATCAGATCCATTCAAGAAGAAAATTCAGAAAATACAGATAAGTAAAAAAGATAAAAATAAAAGCCTTGCCTAATCTCACCTCCTATAGTTAAGTGAGTCATTGTTAACTTCCAGATGTATACCTTTCCAAACTTTAATATGTTTTAATGTACTTTTTAATTATTTCCCCAAAAATGAGATCTTAAGATTTAAGTGATTTCAAATTCTACTCTCACATCTATAGTTTCTTTGACTGCCAAAATGAAAGTCCAAATTTTGGCACTTTATAAAAATAATTATTTTATCTACTGGTTAATATATAAATATATAGACATCTCCTAAAAGATTTATCTATTGACTGCTTCCCCCTCACTATTCAACTCACTACAGTTGGGTTTCCTCCACCACCACTACCACCAACCACCCAACTCCACCTCTCACTACAGTTATAATATTAGATCTCTCTGGACAAAGCAAATTTTGGCTCTCCAGTCTTCATCTTAGCAAATCTCTTTGAAGTATTTGACATAATTGACTACTTGGTTCATCTTGAAACTTTCTTTGCTTTTGACTTTTATGATGTCAAACTCTCTTGGATACGTTCCTTTCAGGCCTCATGTTCTCAGTCTCTTGGACATGCTCATCGTCTCGTGCCCAACCACCTAACGCTGAAGTTCCTCAGAGCTCCAGTGTACCTGACCCTTACTTTCTACGCTATGCTCTCACCACAGGTGACCTCATTGACTCCAATCTTTAATTAGCAAATACACGCCAGTGACATTTAAATTTATAACTTCAGCCCAAAAACCTCAAGATGCATAAGTCCAACTAACATTTTGCATGTCTAACAGACACCTCAAAATGAGTATGTATGAAACTGAACAATCTATCCCTTGTAATAAAAATTCTGCCCAAAGAGTATTTCATCTTAGCAAATGGTTCACTGCTCAAGCTAGAATGATAGAAGTCAACTTTTTCAGTGTTCTAGTGGGTACTTTTTCATCACTCACTATAACACTGCACTGATTTACTCAGCAATTACTTGCTGACTTCTTAATATGTGCCAGGCACTATGCTATGGAGAGGGATCAGGGTTAAATACAATTTTCAATGCCCTTGCCATTAGAGCTTATTTTCTAGTAAAGACAGATCCTTTCTCAGGGTCACTGCTCTTACAATTCCCTCTGTGTGGAGTATTTTTTTTTTTTTTTCCTATTCTACCTTTATCTCCTAACTAGCTACTCTTCATCCTTCACGTACAAACTTAAGCATCATATCCTTGATTCATCACCAACCCCCCACCAGGTTTATCATTCATTTCCATAACACTTTTTATACTTTTCACTACTCATCGCATCTTATTATTATTCAGCTAATATTTTTCTCCCCATTAAACTTGTAAGAGCCATAAAGGCAAGAATTTTATCAGTCTTACTTAATTTCTATATACTTGGCATGGGCACATAGACCAGCACATTATAAATAATTGGCACATTCTGCTTAATTTGTGAACAACTAGTAAAAGAAAACAAATATTTATCTCTGGAAGAAAACTTTGCAGGACTAAACTCTAGGAACTTATACAAAATAATTATGTAATATATAGCAGAAAGAATAAAGTAAAATCAGAATTTTGTGGGTGCCAGAAATCTGGAACAACTTTTTCAAGTATTTTCCCACAAAGTCAGAAAACACTTCCAAACATAAAAATCTCTAATTCAAATTAGTTTACCAATTCAGTCATTAAAATATTTATCAGAAAGTTGCCATATGACAGGCATTGTTATTAAAGGCACCTGTATAACAGTGAATCAAGTCCCTGCCTCATAGAGCTTATCTTCTTGTAGGGAAAGAGAGAAAATAAAATAATATACAAATATACATATGTCAGGAGGTGACAGCCCTATAAAGAAAAGAAAAGAGTGGTAAAAAGATAAGGGTGCTGGCATGAAAAAAGGTTGCCATTTACACAAGAGGTTGATGAAGATTTGTCTGATAAGTTGACCATTGAGCAGAGAGATCAAAGAAGTAAGACAGCAAATCATGTGTAAGAAAAGCATTCCAGGCCCAGGAAACTTTAAGTACAAAGGCTCTGAAGGAGGAGTCAGCTTGGGGCACTTAAGGAACAATGAGAAGGACAGTGTGACTAAAGGAGAAGGAATAGGAGAAGAGTGGAAAGAGAAGATCAAGGAATACTGGGAACTAAATCATGAAAAGTTCCATAAACCATCATAAGGACTTCATCATTTACCCAGCGTAAATAGGACATCAACTAAAGCACTTTACAAAAGACCAAAAAGATCTGACTTGTTTCAAAAGACCATTACAGATATGATGAGCAACTGTAACAGGGAGGGGCAAGAGATGCAAGACCAGTTAGGAAGCTAACAGAAAAACTCGGGTAAAATGAGGTGATGATGGCTTGGACTAGAATAAATGTGGTAGAAGTGGTAACAAGTAATTGGATCCTGGATATATTGTGAAGGTGATAGTTGGGATATGGAGTGCAAACAAAAGAGAGGGAATAAGAGAAACTAATTTGGAATTTGGATCATTATGGGTTCAAATCCCAACTCCATCACTTACAAATCATAAAATCTTGAACAAATTACTTAACACTTTGCAAGTTGTAGTTTCCTCATATGTAAAACAGAAATAACTGATTTCTCAGGCACTTGGGAAGATTAAAGAAAATATGATATATAAGGAATTTAGCATATAGCATGTAGAAGGCAGTCAAAAGTAGTAGCTACTGCAACTATCATAACATATGAGACTGTTGGACAAGTTATATCTAAATATTGCTTATCCTATTAAACTACAAGAAAAAGAATCATCAGTAAATATTGTTCATTATCACCAAAAGCATTTAACAATTCCTTAATGTATACTAAAAATTACAAACCATATAAAAATAATTTCAGTACCAAATCTCTGGCTAAAAGATCTTACCCTATCATGGCACTTGATTTACACATTTTGTAGGTAAGAGCAAAGAATAAAATGGATTACTTAAGAAGGCAGTCTAGTAGTGGAAAAGCTATATGAGTAGTTAAAAGACTCTAAATTACAGTTCAAGATCTGTTAAAAACTAAGAAATCCTGTGGAAGTCACTGAATCAATTTTGGACTTTAGTTTCTTACAAATAAAATAAAAAGTCTGAATTCTTTCTTCCTTTTTCCCTTTTAATTCTCTACTTTGAAACATTTTGTATTGCACATTGCATTTAACATTGACAGCTTCTTCTTTCCATGTAAGTTCTCCAAAAACATATAACTACATACAAAGAAGTAAAAGTCAATAATTTTTTTAGGCTTTTAAATATTCTAAAAGTAGCTCACATACCATATTTCCTTAATAGACCAATAGGCTGAGAAATGCCTGACTAGATAGTTGCTAGGGATTCCTTCTAATGTTAAAATTTCCAAATGCTAGGGCACTAAAAACATGTAAGATAACACTAAATTGTTATATGTCTAAAGTCCAAGGCTACAATTACTTGCATCTTTTAATGTGTGAAAAAAAAGTCACTTTCTTGAAAAATATCTGTGAAAAATTAAAGATTAATTTTGTTACAAGATACAACAAATGGCTTACTTGTAAAAAGACTTGTGGAAAATCATTCAGGACTGACTCAAGTAATTCAAGGCCAAATGTCCGAGTCATTTCTGTCATGCCTACTAGCCAGTAAGGGGCATCAGCATTAACCAACTGACAAAGGTCCTGGGAAAATAAATCAAACAATTTCATGTGCTAGAATGAAATGTGCTTTTCAAATCTCATAGTTCATAAAATTTAAAAAAACCACCTCTCCTCTTATATAATTGTTTTGCTTCTTAGAAACTAAGCATTGATAATTCAAATTTTGACAAATACATATTTGATAGTTTAAATAAACATCTGAAGAATCATGTAATATTGACTACAGAATATATACAGAGAAATAAATGATTAATCTAACATTCTTTTAATGAAAAAATAAACTTGTAATCCAAATTAATAAAATTTTCAGTACAGATGAATCTTATGATTTATTCATGACAAATAATATAAAAATCAGGTATCTGAATATCAAATTATATTAAGGGGAACCACATGATGTTTATTACTGAAAGTTTCCTTTTTAAAGGAATTTTTTTTTAGTATGACTAGTAATCCCTAATATAGCTATCGAGTATTTTCTAGTTCTGGATTTAATTCACTTTATTTCCCTAAAGTGAGTCATAATATTTTATCATGTTAATTAGCTATGTAGTTAATGTAGAAGTTGCTCTTTAATGTATCAAGAGTATTTAAATACTATTTTTGACATTTTTAAAAATTTCACATAAAAAATTAAATCAGACATAAAATCCCAAACAAAAATTCAAACAAAACTATATTCTATAATAAAAATTACTTTTGCCAACTGAAATACCTGGAAAAGCATATATGCATCTTTAGCACAAGGTTTGAGGGTACTGACAGATCTTCTGTTACTATTTGCTTGGATCAGTACTGGTTGTTCTAGAATATCTGTAATCAAAATAGGGTTTTAGGAGTTCATAATGTTTAAAGGGTATATTTAAAATAAATACTTGTATAAACTTCAATTATAATTTTAGAACTATGCTTCCAAAATGAAACAAAATGAAGATCTATTTTTATACAAATTGCCATAAAAGTCACTCTTCACTATTTTACATTCACTTTAATAAGCTTTGTATCTTTGTCCATACATTTGATTTACCCAGTCTCCCACTCTTCAGTCCCTTTCATGGATCTGAAATTTACCCAGTCTTTGAATGCACCTTTAAATATCAAACATATAAAAGTTTATCATATGGTTAATTCCTCTACCATCTCACCATCTTCAGGAGAATTAGCAGCTTGATATGCTGCTATTACTACATCAGTTATAGGTATTTGCTAGCTAAGAGCCCCCTAAAATAATGTTTCCAAACTCAGAATTTCTTTCACTACTACTAAAAAAAAAAAAAAAAAAAAAAAAAAAAATCATTCTCTGTAAATTATGAAAGCCTGTTTTAAATAAATGTTGACTTGATGACTATTTGAAAATGAAGAGGTTCTAAGTATTTTTTTTTTACCTAATTAGAAAGTATTAAACAGCATATGAGCCTTTTGAAACACAAGCTAAAACTACCAATCCACGAACTTTATTGAGGTTATGAATGTATAAGACATTCAAACTGAGAACTGCCCTGTTTTTATTTAATACAGTTTTGAATATTTTATTTTTTTCTTTCTTTTTTTTTTTTTTTTGTCTTTTTTTTTTTTGTGACCGGCAACGGATTGCAACCCTCGGTGTCGCGCCCGCACCTCGCTCAGCCAGTGAGCGGCCGGTCTGTATGTGGGATCCGAAACCTCGGCAGGAGTGCCACCGCGCTCCCAAGCGGCGCACTGTAGCAGTGCGCCACCGGGCCAGCCCCAAGTTTTGAATATTTTAACCAAGCGTGGTATACTATAAGATTAATTCCTTAATATTTCAAACTAATAGAGTTCTACCTGCATTCCCCTGCTTCCCAAGAAATACAGAAAAATCAATGTACCAAAGTGAGTGGAAATATTCTAATAAAGCAAGAGGTTAAGAATGGCCAGAACTGAATGTGAAAAATCTGACCAATGGTTAATTTCAGAAAAGGTGAAGGAATTATTGGAGTAGGCACAATTACCATTACTTACTAGTACTGACATTTTTTCTTTTTAACCAGTATTGCCCTGAGAACATCAAATAAAATGAAAGATTGCATAATAACAAGAGTTTAGAAAAAAAGGCAAACTATGTAAGGAGAAAAATAATTTTATCTTTTGTTTCTTGACTACATAAAACAGATAGGTTGCTTGTGACTGCAGCACTTTGTCATCTCTTCAACAGATCATGAGGAAAAACTTACTTTTCATCCAATAAAGATAACAAATTAAAAAATCATAATCTCAATAGTTAAAAGCTATCAAATTATAGAAATTATAACAGAAATTGGTAGTATCTGTCAGCTCTCCAAAAACATATTTCTAAGTTTTTAGGAAATTTTTTTAGAATCACAAAGAAAAGGGTTTTTAAAACTATAATAAAAGTTTTTGATAAAATTAATCTTTATATTGTATAAATACTCCTGATTAACACATTAATAGGCATAGACAAAAATTCACAAGGGAAGCCCACTGTTAGAAATTTATCCTAAAGAAATAATTCAAACAGTGTAAAAAATACATGTAGAAACACGCTAAAAACAGTTCTAAAATATCAAAAACAATGTAAGTGTCTAATAGAAAATAGCCACAAAATACAATGCAACAATTAAAATTTAAATTACAAAAATGAAATAACAACATGAAAAATTCATAGAATGTAATATTTGGCTGAAATACACACAAAGCAGCATTTTGTTCAAGATATGAAATTATCTTCAATATGAAATTATGCATACATCAGAAATACACATGAAAAACGAAGAGTCTACTTCTTAGAATAATAAAATTATGTGGGATTGATTTTTAAATTGTTATTATTGATATAATAATGTTGTTAAATATATCTTTTAAAGTGTTTTAGTTTTTTTCTTTTTGTCTTTTTCGTGACCGGTAAGGGGATCGCAACCCTTGGTGTGGTGTCACCCGCACCACGCTCAGCCAGTGAGCGCACCGGCCATTCCTATATAGGATCCAAACCTGCGGCGGGAGTGTCGCTGCGTTCCCAGCGCCACACTCTCCCGATTGCGCCATGGGGCCGGCCCAAAAGTGTTCTAGTTTTTAGGTAACAAGTTCACAGGGCAAAGGCTGAAAATTAATAAAAATGAAATCAGGCATGTGAGAACCACCCACAGTCAAAAGGAAACAAATTTTATCACTTTACCTCTGTGTCGTTCATCTTCAGCAACCATCCTCTCAAAAACAACAGTAACAACTTGTCGCACTGTAGCAGCAGCTGTATTATTTGTAATGTTATCTTTTGTGAAGTGTAGTCGAAAACAGAGAACAATTGCCTAAACAAAAAATTTTCATTTAGTCTGAAATAAGATTGAAGAGCATCGCTATTACCTTTATCAGATGTAACCCAATTAAATAATTTATGTTTGGTTGTCTCGATCACACATATTAAAAGTCCCTCCCTTTTATAAAGCTACAAAAATCCTCAGATTTTGTTCTTTTGTTTTTTTTTTGAATTTGTGGTAGCTTTTATTATACGTTTTGTCAAAGGTTTTTTTCAAAGAGAAAAATCTCTTTCTCTCCCTCTCCTTCCTTTTCTCCCCTCTCCCTCCCTCCCTCTCTCCCTCTCTCTCCTCTCTCTCTCTCTCTCTCTCTCTCACACGCACCCCTGAGATTCAGATGCAGATTTGGTAGGTCTGGGCTGGGAAAACCCTTAGATTTTGAAATAATTCAAACTCTTAATATATAGTGATATAAGATTAGTTAAGGCAATGTGAATTATATCTTTTAAAATTTGGTTGTTTGGGGGAGAAAAGGGGAGTGGGAGGAGGAATTAGCGAGAAATTGGTAAAGGGCCACAAAAGATGATTACATTGTATAATGTTGAATATACTAATTATCCTGATTTGAGTATCACTTATTGTACACAGGTATTGAAATTCAATGTGGTATACCACAGAAATGTTTATCTTTCAATAAATAAATAAATTTAAAAAAAAATAAAAATAAAATTTGGTTCTTCTACCATGTATGCAAGGAGAATTCAAAAAGTTCATGGATAAGTGGAATTAAAATACAAAATATAAACTTTATCTTTCAACATAAGTTCCATCAAGTTCAAGAAACTTGTAAGCAATAATACCAGCCATTTAGTCTAACCCTACAAAACTGAAGGTCCTGGGAATTTAACCATGTCAGTGCAGTCTTTTTTACATTATTAATTGAAAAATAATGGGTACCCTTTAAAGATTATTTAAAATTAGGAAAGAAGCCAAATCAGATGTATGCCTAATGAGCTCCCATCAAAACTCTTGCAAAACTGTCCTTGTTTGATGAGAGGAATAAGAAGGAGCATTGTTGTGGTGGAGGACTCTCTGGGGAAGCATTTCCAGGTGTTTTCTGCTAAAGCTTTGGCTAACTTTCTCAAGACACTTTCATAATAAGCAGATGTTATCATTCTTTGGCTCCCCCAGAAACTCAACAAGCAAAATCCTTGAGCATCCCAAAAAACTGTCACCATGAGTTTTGCTCTTGGCCAGTCTGCTTTTGCTTTGACTGGACCACTTCCACCTCTTGGTACCCATGGTTTTGATTGTGCTTTGACTTTAGGATCATACCATGTTTCATCTCCTATTACAAGTCTTCAAAGAAATGCTTCAGGATCTTGATCCCACTTGTTTAAAATTTCCATTGAAAGCTCTGCTCTTGTCTGGAGCTGATCTGGGCACAAGAGTTTTGGCACAAGTCTTCAAAGAAATGCTTCAGGATCTTGATCCCACTTGTTTAAAATTTCCATTGAAAGCTCTGCTCTTGTCTGGAGCTGATCTGGGCACAAGAGTTTTGGCACCCATCGAGCCTGAAAGTTTGCTCAACTGTAATTTTTTCAGTCACAATTGCATGAGCTTAAGCAATTGAGATGTCTATAGTGTTGGCTATTGCAGTTGCTGTTAATTGTTGGTCTTCTTCAATTAGGCACAAAAAGATTAATTTTTTCCTCTCAAATTGATGTGGATGGTCTGCCTCTGTGGTTTCATCTTCAACATCATCTTATCCCTTCTTAAAGAGTTATCCATATGTAAACTGCTGATTTCTTTGAGGCACTGTCCCTGTAAACTTCTCGTAAAGCATCAATTATTTCACCATTCTCCCACCCAAACTTCACCATAAATTTGACGTTTGTTCTTGCTTCAATTTTAGCAGAATTCATGTTGCTCTGATAGGGACTCTTTTCAAACTAAGAGTATAACAACTAATAAGGATGCCTTATCCTTCCTCAAACTAGATCCTGTTCAGACATGTTATATAATAAGTTAGTATGAGTTCATTTTGGTGTAAAAATTTTTTTGAAATCCATGCATAGTTTTTTCATAGTGTGCATTTTCCATGAACTTTTTGAAGATCCCTCATATAATAATGTCATGCTTTTATTTCCCCAGAATGACTTGCTTTGCAAATAGCAAGTACTCAAAGTTTGTTGTATCACTAAATCATTGGGAGAAATACTATGTAAATTTACTAAGCACATAAATAAGTAAAACTGCAACGTTTTTAAAAGGAGTCATCTTTTTTCTCTTTTTAAAATCAACTTTATTAAGCTATCATTTCCATATAATAAACTGTATCCCTTAAAAGTATACAATTTAAGGGCTGGCCCGGTGGCGCACTAGATAGTGCGCCGCTTGGGAAGCGCGGCGGCGCTCCCGTCCGAGGGTTCGGATCCCACATACAGACCGGCTCCCGCTCACTGGCTGAGTGAGGCGCGGGAGCAGCACCGAGGCTTGCGATCCCGTTGCCGGTCCCCGGTCCGGTACGGGGGCAACACTGAGGGTTGCGATCCGTTGCCGGACACGGAAAAAAGACAAAAGACAAAAAAAAAAAAAAAAAAAAAAAA